ATTGGGTGATTTCTCGCTTTCTCTCCCTCTCTCTCTCTCTGTCTTTCTGGTGAGCGCACGCACCCTATAGCAAAAATCTCTCCAAAAAAACCCAAAAAGATTAGGTGAGATGAGGCCTTTGACTCCCTTAGCAGGTACCAAGAGCTGAAAGTGTATTAGACATGATCATGAGGTTTATCTTCATAATGATCTGAGGGGTCTTTAAACTATGCATGGAAAGTACATATCATAGGGCCAGCAGATGGCGTGGTGGTTAAGGGTGCTGGACTCCCCCATGGTTGACTGCGGTTCTAGTCCCAGACCTGGTGGCTTTCTATCTTTCTCTCTTTCTGTCCCTCACTAGTCAAATTAAATAAATAAATGAACAAATGAAATTTAATAAAATAATTCTTTTTTTTTTTTTTTTTTTTAGAGGTTTTTCTCTATGGAGTGCACGCACTTGCCAGAAAGATAGAGAGAGACAGTGAGAAATCACCCTCCGCAATCCCTTCTCCGCCATTCTCCTCTTGGGAGCTTGGGCACGCACGCACACGCGCCCGGCCTGAGTTTAAGCCACCGGGTCCAGGACGCGAACCACAGTCGACTACATGGGAGTCCAGCAACATAGCCATTACACTAACTGCTGGTCCCCCCCATGTACTTTCTGAAGTCCCCTCGTATATGAGAGAATATTAGTAGTTACTGTTATGTTGCAGAACAGCTGTGCCCACTGTGTGTTGGGCACTCTTCGAGCACTTCACATGGAGTAACTCAGAATACATGTTATGTCACATGATTGTAAGAATATATGAGAAATACAGGACCCGCAGACCGTGTAATGGTTATGTCGCTGGACTTCCATGTAGTCGATGGCAGTTCGGGTCCCGGACCCAGCCGCCTTTAACTCATGCCAGGAATGTGTGCGTGTGCGCCCAGGATCCCAAGAAGAGGAGGGACTGTGGTGTGGCCATCCCCCCCTGGGGGTGATTTCTTGCTTTCTGTCTCAGGAAAGGGCACGTGCCCTATAGCAAAGAATCTCAAAAAAGAACACATGAGAAGTAGTAATGGGTGGCAATTCCAGGGGTGGCACAGGCCTCGGTGACCGATGACACGGGAAAGGGAGAGAAAGGGCGACAGCCTCGGAGCCTTGCCTTTGGTGAAGGAGGTTTCGTTCTTTGGATTGGAAGCCCGTGTCCTGCATCGGTGCCACCGACAGCGTGGAGGGGACGGAGCAGGCCCAGGGAGGAGCGTTCTGGGGTCTTAGGCCTGTCAGGGCCCTGTGTGTTTCAGCCTGTCTTAGGATAAAGTAGTCATCCTCAGCCTACATGCCGAAGGCTCTCTAAGGCCTACTGTTTTGAAAACAATCGTTTAAAGGGTCTGTGCTGCTCGGGAGAAGCTGGATCCCGCATAGTGACTGTGGTTCGAATCCCTGGCCAGGTCAGCCTCAAACACACCAACAGATGCATGCAGAGTAACAGTTTTACCACTCGTACCCCTGCAGTGAGTTCCCAGGTGTCTCAGTTAATAATGAAACGGTGGCGGTTCAAGTCGTCCACAGATCCCAGCCAGGCGTGAGGGTGTTTGGGCTTCTCAGTGCCACGGTACCCTCCTCAGGTGACACCCCTGCGCTTCGGGAAGGACGTGGATGGGAAGTGCCACAGCCTCACGGCCTCCTACGTGCGGGTGCAGTACCAGCAGGACAGCAGCCTGCCTCACTGCCGCTTCTACGAGGTACCTGGGGCCAGGGCGGGCCGGGGCCAACAGGGTGGGGCCGCCACCTCCTTGACAACTGGTACCCTCTTGCTCCACCCCAGGAGTTCGACGCCCACGGGCGCCAGGTGCCCCTCCCCATGGGCATCTACAACCTGGATGACCTGAAGGCCCTGGGGCGGCGGCAGGGCTGGTGCCCGTACTTCCTGGCCCGGTACTCGGTGAGGTGGCTGGCTGAGCATCTGTCTGTCTGCTGCGTGGCTGTGTTTCTGTCTGCTTGCTCCTTCGTCAGTGCCTGCGTCTGTCATTCTGTCCCTATCCACTTGCCTGTATTTGTGTCTGGCCTGTGTCTGTCTTTGTGTCACCTCTGTGGACCTGTTTGTGTCTTGTTAGTTTGTCTGTCTGCCTGTCTGTCTGTCCCTGCCCTTCCTCTGGGGAACTGTCTGTCTTTCCTCTCCTGCATGTTCTGTCTTGTCTGTTCGTTCATCTGCCCGTGTCTGTCCTTCCTTTCCTCTGGGAGCCTTTCTGGTTTGTCACATCTGCCTGTATCTGTCTGTCCTTGCCCTTCCTCTGGAGGCCTGCTGTCCTTCCTCTCCGCTGTGGGCCTGTCTGGTCTGCCCGTTCATCTGCCCGTGTCTGTCCTTCCTTTCCTCTGGGGCCTGAAGGGGTGAGCTGGCAGGCAGGCGGGGTGACCCTGTCCTCCCACAGATCCTGCACGCCAACGTGGTGGTTTACAGCTACCACTACCTCCTGGACCCCAAGATTGCAGACCTGGTGTCCAAGGAGCTGGCCCGCAAGGCCGTTGTGGTCTTCGACGAGGCCCACAACATTGGTGAGCAGGGAGCCAGTGGCGAAGGAGACCCCGGCCCCACCCCAGCCCCACCCCGGCCCCACTGAGCCAGCCCCTTCCCGTCTCCTCCAGACAACGTCTGCATCGACTCCATGAGCGTCAACCTCACCCGCAGGACCCTGGACCGGTGCCAGGCCAACCTGGAGACCTTGCAGAAGACGGTGCTCAGGTGGGGACAGCCAGTGGCCCTGGTGCCTCCCTTGCCCCCTGCTACCTGGCCTTGCACCCCCATCTCTGCCTGAGGGGGTGCCAGCCCTGTCCCAGCACCCCACCCCTTCTCCCGGAAGGATCAAGGAGACAGACGAGCAGCGGCTGCGGGAGGAGTACCGGCGCCTGGTCGAGGGGCTGCGGGAGGCCAGCGCTGCCCGGGAGACCGACGCCCACCTGGCCAACCCGGTGCTGCCCGATGAGGTG